TTAAAAATATATTACTTTTAAGAATATATTATTTTTTATATTATTTAAAAATATATTATTTTATTTTTATATATTATTAAAAATATATTATTTTTTATATATTTAAATTATATTATTTTTTATATATAATTAAAATATATTATTTTATTTTTATATATTATTAAAAATATATTATTTTTATATTATTAAACAATATATTATTCTATTTTTATATATTATTCAAAATATATTATTAAAAATAGTTTATTTTATTTTTATATATTATTAGAAAAACATTTATAATTTATTTATAGTATATTATTTTTTAAAAAAAGCTTTTATTTATTTTTATAATAAAAAATAATAATGTCATTCCATTTCAGCCCTATTCATTCTGCATACCAAACGCATCAATGACAAAACATGTTTCATTCCACTCCCATAATCATTCCATTCCTACCAAATTTCATTCCATCATACCAATCATGCCATAAGTGTTAAACGTATGAACAAAAATATATAAAAGTAGCAAAATCGACTCCAATACAACGAGACTTGGTATCTACTTGGGTCTAAAATAGATTTAAAGGTAGACCTAGTGCACTTGCATTGGAGTATATATTTTTTTAAATTGGGTCTATTTCCTACATGGCATGTATATTTTTTTGAATGAACTCAAAACATTGTGGATGCATATGAATTTATCATTAGACAAAGTCTAAATTAGGTCATACAAATATTAATAAATTACTTTACATATATATTTTTGTTCATATGAAATATACTAGTTTATACTAATTAAAAAATATAATGAACTTTTAACTATATTATTACTATTGTATGTTCTATATGTAATTAATAAAATCTATTCTATTACATTTTTAAAAATCTTTACATATAAAAAAAATTATATGGGCGTCCGAACCTTTTAGAGTATCTCCAATGTGCCTTTTGATATTATAAAAAATCATCCATATCATCAACTTTTGAAAGTGTATTACTAATTTATTCTCCATTACATTATGTCATGATGATGTGGATATACTTTCTAATATCTAACTAGTAATTCATCATGTGCATATGTACAAATTACAAAAAAATAATAATAAAACAAACAAAAAATCAAAAGTTATTTAATAATACGTATCACATTAACTAAGTAATTTATTTAATAATTAATACATCTTAGCTTAATTTTTAAATTATAATAAAAAGATATTATACATGTGAAATTTTACATATATTAATGATAATTGTTGTATGAATATAATGAGTGTTATAGCTTTCTATATATTTTGAACATAATAATAATAATAATAATAATAATAATAATAATAATAATAAATTTAATAATAATAATAATAATCATCATCATCATCGTAACAGTACCTCCAAAGTAAAAAAAGTAAAAATTTAAACTGGACAGTCTTATATACCATACAAATTAAATTTTTTAAGAGATTTGTTGTGTAAATTGTATTAATGTCAAATTGAATGATAAAATATATTTACAATATAGATTATTTCATCTAATAATTGTTTACGTATAATTTGAGGTCCAAATTTTGGAATGGATTTACAGTTGAAAGAAAAGATATATAATATTATATTGTAAGGGTTACATCAAGTATAATATTAATTATCATTACCAACAGTCCTGCTATGGAGTCAACCGTTGGCTCCATTATAGAGCCAACTTGACTGAAAAACGGATAGGCTCCATAGCATTTCCATCATTACCAATATAACACAATTAAATTAGTTTGTAAGACATAATGATTACAACTTTATTAAACATTACAATATTTATTACAAAATTAAAGATGTAAACATAAATTAAAAAGAAATTAAAACTTACTATATTGAGTGAAAAATGAGTTTGGGCGGGAAAATGTAGGCTATTGCATTAATGTAATATCCTACAATTATATATACTAGCATTCGATCCTGTGCAAATGTAAAAATGTAAATAAATATTAAAGTTATTTTTGTATACATATAATATTAAAACTATAAGTTAGATAATAGTATTATATTTTAAACATAGAGGATTATAATTTATATTTATGTATATAGTATTAAGATTATAAGTTATATAATAATATTATATTTTAAAATTTGATCATTAGTTAAAATAAATTGTACATAACGATTTGATTGCATACAAATCACTATATTGATTGCATAAAATGTAATAAATAATATAATTTTTGTAATGTTGAGGAATCATGACCAATTAGATGAAAAATATTAAATATATTATAACAACTGTTTATGCGATTTTAAGAAATATTAAAATGACATTAAAATAATAATTTATTTTAAAAACAATCTCTTAATCAGATAAAAAATATATATTGATTTTAGAATAAATAACTTGAACAAAAAATTTTTGTAGTAGAATATTTCATGTTTATGTAACATTCATATATCATCTAGTGTAAAATATAATTAGTAATTTTAGTAATACTTATTATATGAGTGAATAGAAAAAATATAATTCAATAATATAAAATGTAATAGTTTTTGTCTTAATTACCAAAAAAAACTAATGAAATATTTTATTATTAATGGGGTTGGGTGGATTAATGTTACACAGGTAAAACTTATTAGGTCTTATTTAATGATTTTTCACATATGTAAAATTTATTAAGTTTTATTTAATGACTTGCTGGCAATTATATATATAGAAAATATTTTTATATAATTTTGAAGTGATTAGTGTGCTGATTATGAAAGGTTGAATAAAAGTTAAAATGATTTTTATAATCTTGAAGTGATTAGCGTGCTGATTATGAAAGGTTAAATTAATCAAAGTAACGATTTTTGGAAGGAAAGAGTTATAGTGTCACCTAGGTAAAATTAAATAGGTTTTATTTATTAGGTAAAATTTATTGCTAAACTAGCAATTATACATATATATAGATATAGACATCATGTTAAACATTATAATTCATCAATTCACTTTACATTTGGTTTAATTTTTTATTGTTCTTGTGATGATGAATTATTTTAATTGGTCTACTTATACAAATAATTGTTTATTAAATTGATGCATTGAAGATACTAGTTTGATTTAAATTTTTAGACTTTTAACATTATTCCTGTGTGGATTAACATTATAATCATTAATTAAAATATCTTAAAAAATATTGTCTTTCAAAATTATAGCATTAAAGATGCTCTTAGCTAATTTTGTAACTGCTTACATGCCACCTAATCTATTGCACAACGCCTAAAAACAAAAATTTTGGGACGGCCAAGTGATAATTGCGTCTATGCAGCGCTTAACCTGATTTTCTAAAACAGTAGAGTTGCCATTTCCCCCACCATTCCACACACTAATTTACCAAACTAACCCTATACATTAATTAATTATAAAGTATATAATATTCAAACTCACCTTTTTGACTTTGTTCGATTCACCAATATTTGAACATCATTTTTCTTACTTTTTTAACCCGTCCCTTAATTTGTGCTCCTATTTATACCCCTTACTCCCCCCACTCATTTAACTACACTCGCCCAAAACACACACACAGAGAGGATAAATAAATAAATAAATAAAAAATAAAAAATAAAAAATAATTTTGGTGGTATTGAGATAATCATGGGAAAAGAGCCCATGTACATAGAGCAAACGGCCACCGACACAATCGAGCACGGCCAGCCCACCAAGGCCTTAGACGATGACGGCCGTGTCAAAAGAACCGGTACACACACACACACACATAGTTGGAATTTATGCTTTTTTTTTTTGTATTTTTCTTTTTTATGTTTATTTATTTAATTATATATTATTATTTGGTGAAGGGACATTGGTGACGGCGAGTGCACACATAATAACGGCCGTTATCGGGTCGGGCGTTCTGTCTCTAGCTTGGGCCATAGCCCAGTTGGGCTGGGTCGCGGGCCCAGCAGTGCTCATGGCCTTTTCGTTCATCACGTTTTTCACATCAACCTTGCTCGCGGATTCTTACCGGTGCCCCGGCCCGGCCCAAGGCACGAGGAACTATACCTACATGGACGTTGTTCGTGCGCATTTAGGTGAAAATTATTAAAACTTTCATTTTGCACCTGTTTAATTATTGTGCTTTTTATTTCTTTTTAATTAATTAGTCAGGTAACTTAATTTATTGCCTCAATAAAATATCAGTTCTTGTGCTATTTTTCTGTTTGGAATAAAACTGCAATACAATTATACAAATACTCCAGATCTGGTTCTTTTAGTTTTTTTTTTATTTTATTTTATTTTTAATTTTTCTTTTTGGCTTGGGCCATTGACAACCTCTCATTTCTGAGCAATTGAATGATAATAACAAAAAAAAAATAGTAATTTATTTATTCATAATAATGCTACAAGATAACAGTTCGTTTAATTAATCATCCAATTACATGGATATATCAAACAAATTGAAATTCTAAAGTGAAAGTGTGCTCTAATTTCAACTGGTTAAGTATGCTTTATTGAATTTAATGTATCACTCCGTGTTAAAATAAAATTAAATCGGTCAATTCTCATATGGGCTAATAGTTCTACACTCGTGTTTAATTAAACGCAAGTCAAGTCTAAGTCATCATAGTGTACCGCAATATTTGACCTCTGTCTTTTCTTTTATCTTTTTTCATTTAATACAGCAATATTTAATTTCTCCTCGGTTATAGCAATCTCTCACTAAATAGATATATCCGATAGTAATATAGTAGTATTAATTAAATAGGACTTAATATAGTCATTTTCATTAAATTCTGGAAATTAATAATTGCAGGTGGTGTGAAAGTCCAGCTATGTGGACTTGCACAGTATGCCAATCTGGTGGGTATCACAATTGGATACACAATAACGGCATCAATCAGTATAGTGTGAGCTACTACAACATAATAAAATTATTCTTGAGAAATATTTAATTAATTAAAAAATAATAAGTGTCATAAAATAATGAATTTCGTAAATTATTAGGGCTGTGAAGAGGTCAAATTGTTTCCACAAGCAGGGGCATAAAGCTGCGTGCAACGTGTCAAACTATCCGTACATGGGGCTATTTGCGGGAATTCAAATAATTTTGAGCCAAATACCAAATTTTCACGAGCTTTCTTGGCTGTCGATCATGGCGGCTGTTATGTCCTTCGCTTACTCGACCATCGGCTTAGGTCTCTCCATAGCCAAAGTTGCAGGTATATTAATTTAATTTACCATAACGTATTTATATAGTTTCTTTCAAATTTGGATCTTTTTTTTTTATTATTATAGGCATCTCAAAATTGGACAAACATTGAGCTATGTTCACTAGTCAGGTTGCGATTTGTTAAGCTATAATTTAATTTATTTCGAGATTGAAAATGAAACAAAATATTGATTCGTAACAGATAGTATTCTTTTCATCTCTGTGTTTTTACAATACAACTAAACACTATACAAAAAATTATTATTGTAAAGTTTTCAAACAAAAAATTTCCATTCATGATATCTTTATGTGATTGGATATAATTTTTTAGAAAAGTAAAGAATTCTCATATGAAAAAATGAGATGGAAAAATAGGAGTTGTTTTTAGGAAAATGAGATAAATATGAAATTACGAATGGATATGAGATAAAAATGTATGATTAGATGTGATATTATATAAATATTACAAAACATTAATTGATAAATTTGGTTGTTAGGAATATGTAATTGAATGAATAATATGTTTTAATTGAAAATGAATAATAAAAATGTGAAATGTAAAGCATCTCAAATGATGAATGTCTTGGGTTTATAGATAAGATAATAATTTTTGTACTTGAGAGAGTGGTTTTAGTAAACGGGTTGGTTAGTCATGTACGACTTTTTGGTGACCCTTTAATTTGTAATAAGTGGACTAATGTGGACTAATGTTGAAATTTAGCCATATTATGCTCCAAATTGCATGACTTTGAGGGGCCAATTTCGGCCATGTATGGAGGGACCATCACCACAAAAAATCACAATCTTCTTGCTTTAAAAACAAATCTTCATGCGTATCACTTTCATTATTCTTATTCAATCAATTTTATTTCTTTATACTTTATTTTAATAATAATAGTTTAATAATATTTGTGTTGTAAATTAAAACAAAAAAGGCGGTGATCGTGTGAGGACAACCCTAACGGGGACCACGGTAGGCGTGGACGTGTCCGCAGCGGATAAGGTGTGGAGAAGCTTCCAAGCCATAGGAGATATTGCCTTTGCCTATGCTTACGCTACTGTCCTCATAGAAATCCAGGCAAGCCTTTTTTTTTTTTTTTAAATATGCAAATTATAATCATTCAAGATAAGAATTTAAGAATTATAATTTATTGAAAAAACGTCAGATTCCTGAAATAGTAAAGTTAGTGATTTACATTACATAGCAACAAATTTTGTCAACTGTATTTTTACAAAATTGTATGTATAAGTTCTTTGTTCAGGCTTTATCCACATTCCATATTTAATTGAAATCATTATATTAATATTAAAAACTTAATTAAGAAGTTTATATTGTGGTCTAGTGTAGCCTTGCCTACATGATGACAAAAAATATTAAGAATCTATAAACTCTAACCCCGGAACACGACATCATTTAATTACGTGAATAATTTAATATTTTCCAGTCATATATGTCGCAACATGTGATTATTAACTTGTTTACATTCATTAAATTACATTACATTTGTCCCTTTCAATTATTGAAAATAGAGTCGTAACTCGTAAGCATATGTTTGGTAAATTCCACAAGAATGATTAACCTTACGTATAAAATTGCTGTTTATGGGCCTATCTTAAATTCCAAGTCTCCTAGTTGACAGGTGAAATTTAAGCAAAACACTCAGAGCATGTTTGTTTACGGAATTTTTCAAAAAAAATTTAACATTTTAACTCAACCACTTTTTTTTAACTCAACCCTACTATCATCAAAATTATCAATATAATTAAATAATATCAATCAATCATTCATACACACTACATCAACCTTAATTCACTATTCATCAACTCACATAATTTTAACTAACTGTCACTTCAAATCTCTCTCTCTCTCCTACTTTTACATCAAATCAATTTTAATTATTTTATTTTAAATATTATTTTAATATACCCACTAACAATTAATCATACCACATTTTTCAAAATTAACCAAACCAAATCAAAAAATCCAAACGAGACTAAAAATTTTTATAAACAAACATGCTCTCATTATGGGTACATCAATTTGAATTGTGAATTTACTACCCCACTTCATCACCATCATATTAATAATAGATATATAAAGAATGTAATATGATAGTAAATAGCAAAAGTCTTCATTTGCAGTTTCATATCAAGATAAAGGTGCTTTGACTCTAGAAAAAACTTGGCTTGCTGTGTATTTATTTCTATATGTAGCCTAAAATGGACCACCACTTACATTTTTTTTCTATTGTTTTTAATATATTGTGATTTGAAAGCACCACCTGGGGAAGTTATTTATCGCCATCTGCTTTTTTTTTCTGCATTATTCT